GAAGGGATAAATTGTCCATCAGCATTTATGGAAATTTTAAATTAATTTTATGTTTATGGCTTAGAGGAATTTATAAGAATATTTCCTATCTAGAGAAAAAAGAAGTAAGCAAATAAATTCTCACATTTTCTCATTTTTTGCCACAGGTAGAAGAAAAATATATCACTGTACAATGCACACAAGAGGGATTGATGTCTCCCTTTAATTTCTGCCTGTGAGTCTCCTAAGTTACACAGAAATGATCCATAGAGAGTTTGAAGTGCCCCAGAGTGTCAAGATATTATTTATTTATTTATTTTTATTAAATAATATCTGTGTACATTAATACAATCATGGGGTACAGTGTGGTGATTTCATATACAGTTTGAAATATTTTCCTCAAACTGGTTAACATAGCCTTTATGTCATTTTCTTAGTTATTGTGTTAAGATGTTTATATTCTACTCTTAGAAAGATTTACTTGTACCCTTATAAGATAAACCATAGAAGTGATCCCTCCAATCACCCTCCCTCCACCCATCCTTTGTGCCATCTGCAGGATTCTCTCTGGAGACATCTGATGTCACCTCCATGAAAACCATCTCTTCAGTACAGCTCAGGTTTTGTGGAGTTAAATAGGAAAGGGTGAAACTCAGGAAGATTCCTGTCTTCTCTTTTCCATGGGTCTTTCCCTTGTCTTATGACACTGGAGAGAGTCACTCACAACTCACCAACTTCACCAGCTTCAGGCTGGACATACTTTGGACAAAGACCAAGAGGAGAAAGGGAAGTCAGAAATCATGGAGCAGAGTGGTTTGCTGGAGCTAGAACATACTTTTGTGTTTCTTAATGTGGCAACTTCAGCTTCTTGTCTCTGCACTTAGCAACATGCTGCCAAAAATATTAATAGTGAGTAAGCACATATGTTTTGTATTCCTTTCTTTGTTTTGTTTTGTTTTAGTACAGAAAAACACTGTCACCCTGGGTAGAGTACTATGGTGTCATAACTCACAGCAACCTCAAACTCTTGGGCTCAACTGCTTCTCTTACCTCAGCCTCCCAAGTAGTAGGGACTATAGGAACTGGCCACAATGCCAGCTATTTTTTAGAGATGGGGTGTTGCTCTTGCTCAGACTGGTCTCAAACTCCTGAGCTCAGGCAGGTCTCGAACTCCTGAGCCCAAGCAATCTACTCGGGTCAGCCTCCCAAAGTGCTAGGATTATAGGTGTGAGCCACCATGCCAATATTTTGTATTCCTTCTGGCACTTTTGTCACTTCTTAGTTTGTACATTAGATTGCTAATTAACGATCTTTTCTTGAACCCTCCAGTGCATGCAGATGTACAAAAGAATAGAGAAGCATCATTTGGGAATTTAATGTAATGATTCCAAGGCACACCTGCAATGGACCTATGTTCACATCGACTGATTCAGGGTTAAGTGGACAAGAAAAGCACATGAAACTGAATGATGAAAAAATTTTTTCTACTAGCTAATCAAAGAAAATACCCTATAGAAAATGAATTTTGAACTACACTTTCAAGAAAATAGGCAAGTGTCTAATAGGCCATATAAAATAAAAAGGATAAAATGTATCCATTTAAAAAACCCATAGAGTAAAGAAGATTAACTGTAATGAGTTAATCAAAAAAGTGTCCTGCAAAAAAATAATGTGAACTAAATTTGAAATAAGCCAATAGGCAGAAATAATGGAGAGAAGAAAGAAAAGCATCCCAGGCATGAGGAAAGGTGAGGAAAAGTTGAGGAAATAAACAGGCTAATAACAGAAAGCCACTCCACCCAATTTAATCCCAAACAAGGGGATTCCATTGGTTGTATTAAGAAAGCTGAATATGAGAAAGACAAAACTCAAAGCCTGGCTTCAGATGAACTTAGAATCAAAGACTTTTATTTGAGGTTATGGGTAGCCAGGGAGTAGTGACTCACTTCTGTCACTGCTACCAAGGAAATATGTTCTAAAAGCAGTAATGAAGTACAAGCTCTTTGCTATTGTGTACAAAAAGATAACTGTGGCACTTACAATTTAATCCAAAAATATAGGTAAACAGTGTTTCCCAGCACAAAATGGCTTTGTACTAAGTCAGATCTATGTTATTTTTGTTATTATTTTGTTGTTAAGTGGGTTTTCAATACCAATACAGGATAGAGAATAACAAGTCAGTCTTGTTCTTGGCTCTAGGACCTTCATAGAATTGTATGGGCCAAGGCCTATGGCCCCCTGAAGTTTTGCTGAAAAGTCAGTGCATAAGAAGGCAGATTAGCCTAGAAAAAGGACATAAAATTTATTTAACTGTGGACATGGGGAGAATCACAGAGTTATTACCCAATATCCCAGTTGGGTACACATGTTTATATATCCTGCTTCTTATGAAAAGGGAGATGGGAAAGCATGGAAGATTTTAGGGGGAGAGTAAAGAATTTTTAGAGTTATTCAATGGGCTTAAAGAATATACAGTATTCTGGGGCAAAGTCCATTGAGCCCACAGAAGGGATAATGATTTGCAAAAAAAAAAAAAAAAAAAAAACTGTCCAAATTTGTTGACAGACATTGGTCTTCCTTCCTGCAGTATAGATTCAGTTAATGAAAATTCATAGAAGGGACTGGAGGTAATTGTTTTTTCTTTGGTAGGTCTACATGTTAGACAGATAAGGGAACTTCAGCCTATGCTCTGGAAGAGGTAGCAGATTGAGGGTGAAGGGGAGAAGCAGTTGTTCTCCTTGGTGAGTCTGTTTTGTTTTTATGTATTTTAGATAGGGGAAAAGTCTCTTCCAGTATCTTCTATTCTCTAAGACAATTTAATTCCAAATACTAATTATACCAGAGAGCCTTATTATGGGGTGAAACTCCCAGTGCTGTTTCAGAATAAATTTATAAGCTAAAAGCAGGATGATACAAGGTGGGGTGAGGTAAGTGTCCAGATATGTGGATAAAGAGAGTTTGGAAAACACTTAGTTTCAGAGAATAGTAACTGGGGGACAGAAGATACCTAGGCTCTTAGTGACGGTTAAAGGTGAGCTGGTGCAAATTGTAGGACTCTTGAAAACCATGCTAAGATTTTTGGGGATTATTCAAAAAGTGGGTAAAGAAAAAAAATCATTTTTTGCCAATTCAGAAGAGCAACTGAAGATTATTAACAAAGATAAGAAAAATTGAAGAAGAAAGAGAAGAAATGGTGTAGGAGGGAAACAGGAGGGAAAGGACATTGGGCATAACACCAAGGCCAGGGGCTGACATTTGGGTGTCACAGCCAACAGAGATGCACAGCTGTGAATGGTCATGCAAATGAGAGAAATTGCTCAATGCAGATTATTAATCCTACTCTCTGTCATTCTAAAATGGTTATGTTCCAAAAGAGTTAAATAAAATGATTATGTTCTTTGAAAAATGTAAGATTTTGTGTCTTCAAGGATTTTCTTGCTTAATATTAGTACTGTAATATGAAGTCTAATTATAATCCTGATTAATATAAACTATTAAATTTTAAATTTTAAAAAATTGAATCATTAATTAATTCACAAATGATAGTACCTTAACCTCTACAAGACCTAGAGGTAGTGTTTTAGTGACTGGAATCCAATCCACTACTACCTGCACAATAGGTCAAGTCTTAGAAAAAGGAGCTTTGTAGCTAAATGACACAAAATGTGAGAAACCTGAAAAAAGTCAAGATTGCTCCAGTTTGTAGACTGCCAGTGATAAGAAAGATAAGAGGCACAAAATAACAATTTCCCACTTTTGCCAAGGACTTGCCCTTTCACTGGGGTATTGGAAAAACAGCAAGGTATACTTGAGTGGTTATTTCACTTAAAGTTTGCATGAATTTCATAGTAACATTTTATCTAAATTTTCTCAAGTTTTAAAAATCTGGTTAAAAATTTATTCTTTTATATTCATTGGGAAGTCAATAACTATTGATTAATTCATTAAAATGTGAAATTCTCTAGGCCAAATACATATTAGAGTTAAGGATGATTCTGACCATTGTCTTTGTCTTCAAAAACTGGATCTGGGAGGGAGATTGGGGGTAATTTAAGAAGAGTTAGATGCACAAGGTGGTATATTTCCTCCATTGGTAAGCTATTGTATATGGCCATGACTAGGTTAGACATAAAGTTTCCGAAAGATTGAGCATAGAGGGCAATCGAAATTACAGTCTGTGATGGTATCTAACAGGTGGATAAATTCACACCTGGTTCTGGTAATTAAAGATCACAGAGACCCAGAGAACAAATTTATGCTCTCATAAGTCTTATTTTGGGGAGAGAAGTTTAAAAGACATTGACTTTCCACCAAAATTAGTCACTGACAATCATTAGCAACCATTCTAAGTAGCTATGGGTACATTCAAAAAATCCATTCATAGGAAAGAAAAGGAAGTGAATATAAGCTATAGTCCAGCTTTCTCCCTGCAGGTGAGGTATAGAGAAAACATGTTTTGGCCTGTTTTTATGTAGCTTTGTCCAAGAGATTTGGGAAATAGAAGAAGAATATAGAAATTTTCTATTTAAAAATAAAATAATTGTATTAAATTTTGAAACTTTTTTTTTTATTGAATGGTAACTATGTACATTAATGCACTTCTGGGGTACAGTGTGGGGTTTCCACATGCAATCCGAAATACTTCCATCAAACTTGAAACATATTTTTATGTTAAAAATACCATCTGTTTTTAGGAAAATTTCCTGAGTACATTGCTTATTGATTGACTCCACTTACTCTTCATTCCTCATTAAAATATTTCTACTTTTAATTTTGGACAAAATCTGTGTTCTTTTTTTAGTTAGGTTTTGTGGGTTTTTTTTTTTTAATAGTTTCTCACTACCCTATTTTTCTATCCAATTCTGTCTATTGTTAATATGGCAATAATCTATGCACATACACATATTTTTATTAGAAGTGTCAAATACTGTTAGTATGACAGGAGTACAGTAATCACTTAAGAATGACTATGAATTACATTTTTTTCCTTACATTTTCCATTCTCCTGAAGTGTTGTAAAGATGGATGGAACCAATGACAGCTCCCCAAACCATTTCATCCTTTTGGGGTTTTCTGACCGCCCCCATCTGGAGAGAATACTCTTTCTGGTCCTCTTGATCGCATATCTCCTCACCCTAGTAGGCAATACCACCATCATCCTGGTATCCCGGCTGGATCCCCATCTTCACACCCCCATGTACTTCTTCCTCACCCACCTCTCCTTCTTGGACCTCAGTTTCACCACCAGCTCCATACCCCAGCTGCTCTACAATCTTCATGGACGTGATAAGACCATCAGCTATGTAGGCTGTGCCATCCAGCTTTTCCTGTTCTTGGGTCTGGGAGGTGTGGAGTGCCTGCTCCTGGCTGTCATGGCATATGACCGATTTGTTGCTGTCTGCAGGCCCCTACACTACATGACTGTTATGCATCCACAGCTCTGTCTGGGTTTAGTGTCCCTTGCTTGGGGCTGTGGAGTGGCCAACTCTTTGATCATGTCTCCAATGACATTGTGGTTGCCTCGCTGTGGGTACCACAAGGTGGACCACTTCCTGTGTGAGATGCCAGCCCTGATACGGATGGCCTGCATCAACACAGCTGCTGTTGAAGGCATAGCCTTTATTCTGGCAGTGGGTATTGTGCTGTCACCCTTGATGTTTATTTTGGTATCTTATGGTTACATAGTGAGGGCTGTGTTAAGTATCCAGTCATCTTCAGGAAGACACAAAGTCTTCAACACTTGTGGCTCCCATCTCACTGTGGTCTCACTTTTCTATGGAAATATCATCTACATGTACATGCAACCAGGAACTAGGTCCTCCAAGGACCAGGGAAAATTCCTCACCCTGTTTTACAACATTGTCACACCACTCCTTAATCCTCTCATCTATACTCTCAGAAACAAAGAAGTGAAAGGGGCATTGAGAAGATTGATTTGGGGAAATTCAAGTTTCAGAAAGAAATTATAGTGAAAGGTAAAGATAGGAGCACATGCTTATGTTAACACCTTTCAACACTATAAAACTGGACCATTTTTTTCTGTGTGTGTACACTTCTCAATGTAAGGTCTGTTGACCAGGGCTGATGCACAGATATCTAGGTTGTTCATGTAATGTTCTAAAAAGTAAGAATGATTAGTAAGGCCATGTTTTATAGAAAAGTAATGAAATAAGAAGGCAATGTGATTCTTTTGCCCAAATTTTCCAAAAGTTTTAATCATCACTTAGAACACATTGAGTATTTCATTCTCATTATCCATATTTACAAATCTTGATAAAATGCTATCAGCATGGACAAGAATTTTTATCCCACTTCCGTTGTCCTATCTCAAAAAATAACAAGAAACTTTCTCTTAGTACAATGTGGCTTTTCTTACTTTTCATCTATTTATTCACCCAATATAAGTTACTGAGTTATTTTTCTGCTACAGGCACTATTGTAGGTGCTGGTGTTAAATATCTGATCAAAATTAACAAGGTCTTTGAATTTTTGAAATTTACCTAAATTTACTTAAATTATGAAATATACTTTCTAAGAAAATATGAGTTGGAAATGGTCAATCATTTCCAAGGATGACTATTAGTAATTCCTTCCATTGTATATGTGCATGCTGCTTTTTTCATTATGATAGCCCTTTCATGTTATCTGGTCATGTGACTTGCTTTAGACAGCAGAATGTGGTAAAGGTCACGTTATAACTACCAATTCTGGACCCAAGTCTTCATTGGCCTCCTGGTTAATTCTTCTGTTCTCTTAGGATATAACCCCCATGGAAAGAAGCTCAGACCAGACTTATAAATGATAAAAAAAAAAAAAAAAAAAAAAAGGAGGAAAGAGAGAGAGAGAAGAAAGAAAATAATATGTCGATATCCATTAAGGCAAAACAATTATAAAAGTGTATGTTGGGGTGTAGATAAAGAAGGTTGAGGGGAAGAATCTATACCAAAAAGGAGCCTCTCTTTGGGGAGGGATACATTTTTGCATTACCTAGGGAAGGCAGATGGGGGAGAAACAGGAACATGGTAGGAGAAGGAAACTAAATAAAGAGCACCAACGACCCCTGAGGGCAAAGCACA